TTTATTGGCAAGCTAGTGCTTGACTACCAACCGACACTACTTCACTTAGAAGCGGATTATACGATGGGGAGGTTAGTATATATTCATGCAAAAATGTGTAACTCCAAGGTGCGGTCGCTTCAGTATGAGAGGGAGCATTTTACCCAAATGAAAAGTAAGCTTTGCCCGTCCATCCATCCGTTTCCTTACTCACTGGAGGGTGGAGAGCGCTACTTATCTGAAATAAATCCGTAATAGTTTCTATATGACAAAATATATCCACAAGACGCTGAAGGCGAGGGCGAACGAGGTGCTGGACGCACTTCGAGTTTGGGCGCAAACAAATTTGATGCAGTCTTTTTCGGGAAGAGGCTACAACAGAAAGGACCTTCATTTCGACTCGAAAACGGCTGTATCAAATGCAAAGAGTATATAAACTATCTAGCCAAAGTTCAATCTCCTTTTTATTATTATTGCATACGCACGGGAATAACTTGCCACCAAACGTATTCAATAGCCCCTTTGTAGCGGAATCGTCACTGGATACAGTAATAATTTTTTATACGACAGTACGCAACTGCGCAAGTTGTCTGTAGTATGAACAAAAAACTTACATGTTCGAATTAATTCACCTCTCCATGTTAGTTCACTGTAAGCGTTCTAATTGCCGTTTCAAAAAATAACCGCATCCCAACTTGGTTTCTTGTGTCCGAAAACAAACGGCAGCTTTCACTCCAGCAAAGCTCGAACGAAATTATTTCGCGACGAAACTACGTGATTGCTTCTTGATAGTTCCCGACCTCGCGGAAAATCTCTCAGAGAACAAATTTACTTTTTTATTCAAGACTGTTTGCTCTTGTAATGCAGATCCCAATTAATCTCCCGTTTTGTGCTCGAAATAAACTTACTAAACAATCTCATAGAGCAGGAACGAATGCCTCTCCAAAAATCCCGGAATGATCCGTACTATCCTTTGTAACTAATAATCCAGTAATTAAAACGAATCATTTTTGTTAAAAGGAAATGTTATTGGCAGTACCTTCGGAGGGCCAGAGCTTTAGGCTGTCCTTAAAACACACACACACGGGAATTATGCTGAATTGTATTGTGCGATCAAAAAAGGATCACTGTCGAGTCACATTTGGCATTTTTGTTTACATGGAAAATGATAGTTAACTTGAACTTCCCGTTACTATATTACCATGTAGGCGAATCTATCTTCTCACGGTGGCGTGATTTGTCAGCACCTTTGGTTACAAGAGCCCTAATTAAAATAGTATCTGTTATCTCCGACTTACCGTCGTTGTCGGCACTGTTTTCGAAAACCATTAAAAGGAGAATTTAAATACGCAGAACAAAATATGATCGCTAATTCCACAAATTACTTTCGGACTTTTACAATTTCACCAGTCATACAATTTAAAATTTGACCCTCTAACGAAATAATTTCGAACATTAATAAATGTAAAATGGTATACATTTTACACCAATGTGCGATATTCCCGTTGAAAACCATGCACCTTCTGTCTGGAAGACATTAATCAGGTATAATTGTTAAATTGCTTTTAAGGGATGTTACGTACCCTAAGTTATAAGTACTAACCAGGGAAGGAATATTTTGCTTTCATATTAAAGTGGAGTAGGAAGTTATCAGTCATCAACCATACGGGAGTTGGATATGGGGCAACTTACAAGAATTGTAAAATTAGCATAATTAACTCCTTTTGTTGACCGAAGTGCATTCGATTCGTTTAAAAGGCGGTCCCTTTATGTATATTAATGTCACTCTTGTTTCAATAATTGACTAAACCTAAACTGAAACTTGCACACAGTCATACTTGTTTATATTTTGTGGCGGGATATAAGCACATCGTCACTAATTAATATCTACATACTCTTAATTATATAATCGCATAATCCTCTAATAAATGCTTATAAAATTAGGATTGTAACTTTAAGATATTGGAAAGAGAGAATCAAGTGCTAAAAATAAAAACATTTTAAAGCGTAATTCCGCCGTCAATTCTATGACAGAAAAAGGAATAAAACAAAGTTGGAGGTAATTATCTTTAATCTTTCATACAAATGACTGGTTATATAACATAAATGATACTGATTGAGAATTATACCTTCATAGATAATTTGACGTTGAATAAGAAAAATATAAAAATAAATCCGCTTTTCGCATTATGTAATGCAGAAGCGGTAAAAGTTTAAAACAAACCCATTTTTCAGAATGATATGACATATCTCACTATGCGCATCTATACTTTTTTTGCTCATATCCTGGGATGTCAACGTAAGATGTAATCTAAAATCTACATTTTATTTATAATACTTACAATACAACAACCAATGGCATTTCCTATACATAAAAAATCCAACATATTTTTAGGATATAAACAAAGAATCTAGTTTTTTAAATAAATGATTAGAGACGAGGTATTTTTCCTAAGCAGATCCGGGATGATTACTCAAAAAAGGTATTCGAATACTGATTACAAGTTACTTTGCCAGAAAAGTATTTAATTACAGTAATAATTGATTACTGATTACTGAATTCGATTACTGATTACAAATGTAATCGATTACTTTGGCATTGTAATCACAATTACTTTTATTTTTAAACATATTGTATTTGTAAAAGAAGCAGAAGACATTTATTTAAGCATAAAGGAACTTCCCTTATAAGAAGGCTTGCTTAAATACTCAGAAACTAAAGCGCTCGGTCCTAAAGGGACCTCGTAACATGGGTCACATTTCAGGGTGGGAAAATCCCTGATCGTTTCTTGTTATTTTTTAAGGTAATGTTCTTTTTTTTCCAAAACCAAAAAACGATCCAGATTCCACTTTTACGGTTACGACGAGTACTGAAAGTATAATCCCTATATCGTAGCCACACTTCCTTCGATCGGTACAAGGGAATAGGGTCTGGATAGAGTGAAATCTAAATCTCTTGAAGGAATACTTCTTGGATTTTTATACCATTACCTCTTCTTATACAATTGATCGGGCATGGAACTGTCTACTTTTGCCATTTTACTGGTATAATCTATTAATAGCTCCCTCCAAGTCTAAACCGAGAGTGATTAAATTTGTTTCTTTAAACTATCGCTTTCAAAATAGAAACTTTGTTACTGCTTGAAACTGTCATTCGATACTTTGATTTATTCGCCGGAAAAGGCCGATCGTACCGTGATAATGTTTCGATAGCCCTAGATACGAAATCAACCCAACGCTGCTTATACCGAGAGAGTTCATTTTTTACTGAATTTCCACCATAACGCTTTCTGAATGAGTTCAGGAAATGTCCGGATTATTTACTGACCAACCATACTGTACTCATTGGCACTAATGCGGTTTTTTCTCGTAGAGTTATTTCAAAATGCGTCACGTAAGTACAACACTTCTGTACAAAATATTTGCGCGTTTTTTTCCGAATTCGATAATTTACATTCCACAATTTTGACTGATAAACGGCTTTTGCAATTAAATTACTGGTTACAAGGCTCCTCGCGAATTAAAAATGAACATGATTTTCCCTCTGACAACTTCGTGCTTAGAGACCGAAAATCGAGCCGGAAACACTATTACTTCAAACCGCTCTAGGATGTGCAACGGAATAAATTTAAATGAACCAATGAGCGTCCAGATACATTTCGATCAGTTAATGATTGGGCGTAATCAATCGTTTTTAATAAATTTAACATTCGAGGTCATTCTCGAAAATGCATTTTTTTATACAATTTTGATATACAGGGTGTTTACGGTCTTTTCTGTATCCCTTTAAAGGACGGCTGTACATCTAGGAATCTACTACTTAATCAGCATTGTCCACTTAAATTATTTTTTACTAAGGTATTTTGGGGTTTGAGCTGTACTGCCGTCCCTTAAAAGGATACAGAGAAGACCGTAAACACCCTGTATTTTGCATCGACAGGAATTTAATTTCAGCCTCTACATATAATCTAAAACAACTGTACTATTATACATTGCGATCAAAAATGAGTGACCGTCGAGTCACCTTTGGAATTTTTGTTTACATGGGAAATCGTACTTAACTTCAACTTTCAAAGGCGACTCGACAGTCACTCATTTTTGATCGCCCGATATTATGGTCAGTTCAGTGACATTCTCCCCTGATGGTTATCAACGGTGCATTGTGATGTTTCACGATGTACAGCTTTGACAATGTTACCTCCACGACAATACGCCACTGCTTGTTGATTTCACTTACTGACTTGTTCACTTGTAGCTGTTCCTTAGGTTATTAACTCGTTGCATACACTTGCCTTTTTTGCTTACCTATACAGGGTGCATCCTTTCGATGGGTAAAACTCTTCACCAGGTGACTACGTATTATTTTCTGAGTGTAAGTCTATTAAAAATTTTCTGATAGATTATTCTTTCAGGAGGTATAAGCCATCCTAGTTCACAGAACAAACTGATTTAGTACACCAGAAAGTCAAAATCTGCAATTATATCGGAGTTTGGGAAGATGACTTGAGTTTTTCACGTAAAAGATCTATGTAGAATGCCTTGATCTTGCAATTTGCATGAGTCACAAACTGTCATGTTTCCAGATTTAAAAATCCAAAAGTGTTACTATGTACCCGAAGGAGTCATTTAGAGGAAAATTTTTATTAAACTTTTTGCTCAGAAAATAATACGCAATCACATAGTGAAGATCTTTACCTATCGAAAGAATAAACCCTGTCTAAATACCTGTTATGTATTTGTAGTAAAGAAATAGTGTGGTATTGGTATACCTATGCAAAACCTAATTTGGGTACATGTATAACAATAAAATTTGGGAACGATCATATCCCATCAAGGCCACATACATACATACATTACCTGAACTATATCTTCAAATCACTAAATACTGTCAAAATACATTATCTGCTTTATTTATGATGCAAACGTTATATGTTACACTTTAAAGAAAATAAATAATTCAATGTAAGTTTCTTAATCTCAAAAGCTATCTTAGATCAATACACAATTTGAATGAAGATCCTAATGATAAATTTCAACTATAATTTTTCCCTAAAGTCTTACGTGCAACGATCTAAACAATTGTTCAGAGAAACGCAAACGCCATCTAGGTTAAGTCCGGTAAAATGTAAACAAACTAAAATGATCTTGATCAGGCTGCTGACAAAGGCAGAATTATGACAACGAAAGCCTCCTTCCCAGCGTACATATCGTTTTCACAGCAATCTATTTGAACGGAAATTGTTTAATAAATACCGCTGTTTTAACTAAAGCTTACTATGTAATGGCCGTCCTCTTCGTACATGAAGTGGAAGTAGGTTAACGTAAATATTTTTCCCAACTGGGCGATTGGTGTTGAAAATTGCTTCTACACCTTGATCTATTGTTGTTGTATATGGATCAGCACTTGAGAAACAATCTGAAAAAAAGACTATTTAATTATAAATCGCAAATAAGAGAATTGATCCAGCACTATGAAGTTATTTTGTAGAGGAAAACATCTACCAAGAGTCAGTTCATAATTAATGAAGAAAATTGATTTCAAGTGAATCATACCTGAAGCTGAATTATAGTCGACTCAGTCGCCGCACAAATTTGGTTTCATAAAATGACCTAATCGAACTATCAAACTTTGATCTGGCGACAGGTCAATCTCTAAAGTAGCCAGGATATTTTTGTTACACTGATCGAGCATTAGGAGAGTGGGCAAATTAACTGACTGACCAATAGTTGGAATTCATCGACACTCTACATTTACTTCCCTTCTTTGACAGTTAGGTCACACTATACTCCAATATTACTGGCTAGGTGTCTGTGGAATATAAATATTTACGCGGATGTGATCTTGGTAGAAAGAATGTCTAAATTAAACCTGTCTTTGGAGAGCCAGAAGTTCCCGAATTTTACTCAGAAAACTAAACCATCTCTGCTGTCTGGTGGGTAGAAAACATTGATCAAGTTAAAAATAAGCAATACTAACGTAACATCACAGTTCATCAAGTTTTAGCAGGAATGGCTAAGACCACGCTAAGACACTATAGGTATCACAGTGTAAGCTCTTTAATATACACTCGAATAGAATGGAAAACTGGTATTTTGAAAATCCTTTGCCGACCATGCCAATACGGTGAGGAAAATGCGAGGAACACGTAGATTGCCGTATGAAACTAGTACATATTATTTTTAAAAGAATGGGACTAATTGGAATTTGCTAGTTTCTTAGTCGCTTACAGTTGGGTGGTGAAGGGGACCGGAAAAATGCATTAAGCTCAATTACTCTCACCTATCTTCTTTCTAAATTTAACCTAACTGTAGTTAGCAATTTCCAAAAAGGTAGATCCTTATTCCTTGCTGGCCATATTTAATAATTCTGCATAAACCATGCACATCCTGCATCTGGCATGCAACTTATTAAAATCCTAGATGAAAACAAATGCGTGCAATTGATACACCTAATTGCGAAATTGTATAACCATATTATAACTCTTAAATTGTCCTTGAAATTTTTGTAGCTACAGTCATGTCCGTCTTTAATCTGTTAATAGTACAAGAGTGCACGCTGCAAATTAATTGGGTGTCATTTCCCAGTTATGCAATCGTATGGGTGTTTGCGACCTATAAAGTTAAGTAAGTAAGTAAGTGCTTATTATAGTTAAAGGTCGTGGATGTGCTATTTTACAACCATTAATTTTGAGATGCTTAAACGTCAAATAATAAAAATAATTAGAAAATTACAGAGCACACTTATTATTACTATTTCCTTCTTTATTATTATGTTTACACACAGATATCATTGATTCCCTTTATTTGGGCATTTAATCATTGGCTTTTATGGTATCCAATAGCCGAGGTCAGTCTTAAGTCGCATTATCCAATTATCTATCTATTAGTGTAAACAGTGGGTGCCGCTAATTTAATATACCTATTTATTTACAATTGTAGTAGCTACTAGTACTATATGGTATCACACGAAAGTAATGGCATGGCATAAGTCATAACACCACTACCTATTAATCAAAACCGAGATCAAAACCAGGTGCCAAATTCGTGACAGAACAGCTTCCTAGCTCGAACCCAACTTTTGTTTGTGTTTAATGCTTACTATTACTAATAATTCATTCATTTATTGTCTAAAGTCAAGCAACGTTGGCCCCGGTTAGTATTTGAATGGGCAATGCGATTTTTTGCTCATGCATTTTATTTGCTTTTATTAGAGGGACCTACCATCAAAATTTCGTTCAAATTGCTCCATAAGTAAGAAAACTGCGTTTTGCGCTTGCGCAACACGATTTTTTGCGCATGCATTTTATTTACTGGATGGACCTACCATCAAAATTTCCTTTAAATTTTTCCCGATCTATTATTGTAATTATATTGAACATGAAGGATCGAAAAGAAGGAATTCTCTAAACAAACCAATTTTCAATTTCACTTAACTTCAAAAATAATCTCTGAAATAGAAATGGCAAAAGGGAGCAAAAAAATTAAATAAAACGACACACGGTGTCCCAAGCGGTCACCCATCCACGTACTGGCCGCGCGCAATAAAACCTTGCACAATTTTTGTAGGTTGTACACAGAAACATAAGGTTCGAACATTCCACATACTAAATTAATCGAGTAGTATAATACCCTTTGGTGCAACCTGGAACTTCTAAAAAAATGGTGTAGACCTTCTCATTGCACAGCTCAGCTTTACAAGGTAATTAATTCGCATTCTTCTCCTGAACTGTTTGAATTGAGCAATTCCACGAGTTTTTCCCGGGAAACATCGACTACCCCTCTCCTGACGGTTTGAGAAAATAAATTTACCTTGGTCCAAGCTAATCTCGGGGAAATGGTTCTGTTTTGAACAGCTGTAATGAGGTTAATACCTCACTGGTAACTTTCATAAGAGATTTAAACCAAAAGTTATAACTAAAAACGTTTGGATTTGGCAACTCCACTCTTCAGTTTAGGTTTCAAAACACACCGTATAGTCCAGTCAAATTATCATAATACCTTGCATCAGATGTGTCATCTCTATTTTTTTTTAAATTGTTAGGATGAGTATGGATGTGAACAATCCAAGTTTTCGACATCCAATGACTTGTGCGAGCAACGCAGCACTCGAAAATACGCCATTTTTTCTATTATATTTAGGTTTTGAGTAGTTTTAGTTCTGAGGGACAGATTTTAAAGCAATTAGTGTCGTATACTTTTTTAAACTAGACAAAATTCTGTGAATTTTTTCCTTTTGCCTGATCTTGCTCGACAAGGGACACCGATTATAGAAGATCATGTGACAGTAGCAGAAAGCTTACTCACATCACTATGGTTGGTTTGAATAAGACATCATATAAACATGGATATTTTTCCACTAAAAGACAAAAATCAATATTTATCCACAATTTTTAACACTTCTTCAACAACAACAAGTTTATTACGAGTACGACGCACGACTTTCATCGTGCATATTATTTGGTAAGTTAAATTTACCAATATTTGAAGCGTCGTATCTCGAAAACTATTAGACTTGCGGAGATCGTTAAGGGCTTAAATTGTCCGAAATTGTCTAGTTCAAAAAAGTATATGACAATAATTGCATTAAAATCGGTCCTTCAGGAGTAAAAGTTACAAAAACCAAAAAATGTTAAGAAAAATGACATATTTTCAAGTAGGTACTGTGTCGCTCGCACAGGTCTTTCAATGTCGAAAACTTGGATTTTTCACATCCATATTCATCCTAACAATTTAAAAGAAAAAATAGAGATGACATATCTGATACACGGAATCCCTATTTTTTTTGTCTAATTTGACTGTACTAGTAGGCAAATCGATAATGCAGGTATACAATCCTACAGAATACGTTATAATTTTTCGTGACAATTTCATATTGACCTCATTGCGGTTATGCACTATTCCATATCGATGTATTGATGTTTGATTCGACCGATTTAATAGTGACCTTCAATTTACTATCAACGATAAATTTTCAATTTGATATCATTTCACAGCGATTTGCGAACCTAAACAAAATGTTATTTCCTGGATTTAAATACCAAGTTGAGAGATTAACGTTTTGCTGTCGTTCTTGCTGATTACAAAACTGAGTAACTAAACATAACACAGGCGGCTTTGAACAATTCCCACATGGCATATTGATCCTGTATTAGTATTGAGGTAAACCGAAGTAACCACTAATAAATGACATTCAAGAAATGTAATTTAATTCCAAGCATTAATTGCATTGTCTAATCGAATTTATATTCTTAGGACCGAAAATGTACACGTATACATATTTGGTACTTGAATAATTTATTATAGGATAAATAGAATTACCCCTAGAAGTTGCAAAATGTGTGTTTCATGTTTTACTGCGACCACACCACTTTACCGATGGAACTTACCCTTTTCATATAGGTAACAAGATTGAATATTTTAGAAAGAGCCGCAAGAAAATGTTGTAATCTTGATTAAATATGGTCCCATTTGCGAAGCAGATCTTTGAACATTAATTAATTAGCTAAATAACTGGCTACCTACTTAGACTTACCAAATAATAACTCTGCAAGTGGAACTCTCTTGGTAAGAAAGATCTATCGGTATTTTCTAATACCTATCTTCCTACGGTTAACTACTTCGCGACAAACTTCTCCTGGCAAAACTTCGTTAGCAGACATGTACGATCGTTTATCTAATTCTCTATTCTAATATACAGGGAATATGCTTTTTAAAAAAAAACCAGGAAGTTAGCCACTGATATGAAGCACAAATGACGTCACTATGCAAAGTCCTTAGTGCTTCGTTGGTGCTTCACATCAGAAAACGGCCACACCTACGGTTCAGATCAGGAGATAGAAAGCCTCAAACTTAGAGACCGGAAGTTAGCCACACCTTTTTTATTAATGAAGCGCAAATATCGTGATCTGGCAGAATCTTTAGTGCGTCGCTAGTATTCATTTGTGCTTCATACTGGAACCGAGCCACACCTACGGTTCGGGCAATATCAATGTTTCTCTTTATGTATTCAAAGATATACACAGGTATCATATATTAGGGACATAGGTATTCAATTTTGGATTAAAGGCAGCACGAATTTGCGCAATTGATATGCAATGTTTTACTTTTACGCCATGATGGTTTGATTGTTTAGGGATTAGTTTACGCGGCGCCGAGGTTTCATAATGATGTCATCTGCAATTTATGGCGAAGGTACTAAGTCGGCGTTTCTCAACCTAGAGAGAAGTTTTAGGACCACTGTGAGCATGTTGGGGTTTCTGTTTCAGAGGAATATAAGTCAGTGTCTGTAAGAGCATTACACATCTTTCAACCACATATTTATGTGAAGCTGGATTTTCCACGATGACAAATATAAAAACTAACTATCAAAACAGATTGCACGTTTCATCGTCATTATGAATGGCAATAAAAAGAGAAATCCAACCCCGAATTGATAAATTGGGATCTATCCAGCAGGATCAGGACAGCCACTAGTTGCCTTTTTTAATTTTTTTTATTTTCTTGATTTTTTAAGCTTAGTGACCTTGTATTACTAATTGAAAACAAATAACCCATAAAAGAAAAATATAATTTTTTTGGCACCATTTCTTTTACAGTTTACACTTTTACAAGCTTTACAGCACTGTTGGGGACCACGAATATTTTTACGTCAAAAATTGAGACCACAAAGCAAGAACAGGTTGAGAAACGCTGTACTAAATCGTTGTTAATCCTTACTTAAAACTATATTTTTCGTCTAATTCACTATATACGTTAGCGTCCCAATTTCAACCCCCGGGATTTCGCCCACAGAAAAATTCAGCTGTTTTATTTATTTTTCTCCGATTTCGACTTTAAACGACATACAACACCCTAAACATCATCATGATCATATCAAAAAAGATTCAGGTACGTATGTTGTACATCGCCGCATTGGGGACAGTTAGGATTTGGATGACATTTCATTTAAATATCATCGCGTTAGAAAGACCATGGTCAGTTTTTAGTCGATTTACCTTACACCAGATGTATCTGAAAATATCAAAGCAGGAATTTTAGTTGTAGGATCCTCAACAATACTTTTATTGAAAACTTCTCAAGTCGGCCATTCTACTTTCCATTCTGTTTCGCTGTTAACACCATTTTTTTAAGAATGATTGTATTTACTACTACCGTTGAGTGAAGGATTACTCAATGCTACTACTAACTCTGCTAAATTAATAACGCACAGACATCTATTAAAATCAGAGACTTGCCATAACAGAGTCTGATTAAAATAGAAAGGAACATTATTTATTACTAAAACTTAAAAAAAACTAACTGCGCTTAGGTTCCCAAATATTTTGTGGTTACATTTTTATACCCTTATGTGATCGAACGTCACAAACGACTATTTATCTCTGTATTTTAAACTAACGCCAAAATTGCGACGAACTGGGGCATCTCGCGTACAATCGGTGTGAATCAATGACTATTGGCAGAATAAGTAATTTAATTTACATAAATAAATATAAAAATTATAGTGATTAATACATAGCAACGGTAGTCGGTGGCAACCTGACTTGTCGGTCGAAGACGGCGGATCGACCGCAAGAAACGGAAGGAACGGAGTGACCGACTCGGGCGCCACCAAGCGAAAATCTCGCGCCTGCTCGAGGTCCACGGACTGGCAGGTCGGTCTCGGTTGTTTTCCAGCCAAAATGAAAATGATCCCACTATTTGGTAGGTAACTAACTTGTTCTGCAAGGACTTGGGGTTTTGACCTACGAATAATTGTAATTTAGTGGTTCATTAAAGATTTCCCCGAATCTAGCGTTCTCATTTGTTCGGGATAAAAATCACGTTTGGAGACAACACACCGTGACTATGGAAACTCCCCCAACACAATAGAGTCACCGAATAGAAATTGACGTACCTAATAAACAAATAATTCTAATAACTAATAACTAGGGCACCTACTGGGGTGATCGCAAAATAAACAAATATAAAAGTCTCCTCATCCGTGCAAATGGTTACAATGCGTTCTCCTTGTTTAAATTGGACTCGAATTTCCATGTCTTCCGACCCGAAAGGTCATTGATAGTTGCACATCTTGATAAAGTACAGAATCTATTTCAAAAACCAGGATTTTTGCGTCTGCACAAACTACCTTTCGAGGAAGTCCGTGGAAAGGCCACATTCAAACTTTTGGTAAATATTGTCGTGAGAGATCAACATGTACGCATAGACTTGTTACATAGTAACTACGTCGAAATTTTAAAAGTATATCTATTCTGATCCAGAAATTTTTAATTGTAGGTAATGCAATAATACCATCAGTAAACTAAAAGTGACATATTTTTATATGTTCTGAGTTATGGGCATTAGTACCTCTTATAATAAATAAATAATAAATAAATATGCAGTGCGACCAACATACTATATCTTTATGTAATAATAATATGTACTAGAATAGTAATGCGGTTTGAGACAAATCGTATTAGGAGTAATATGTACCTAATTCAATTTATCTAGGCTCTCGACAGTTAATAAATTATACAAAATTACGTTACGTAGATCTTTTAGGGAACACTTACATATCAGATATTCAAGTGAAGAAATTCATGGGACAAGCGATAACATTACATGTTTGACCTTCAATTGATAGACATTAACCTAGATTTAAGGTTATTGTAATATTGACTAAGGACAATCTTTTGAAAATTTTCAATGGTTTAGAACTTATATAATAAAGCGAATTGAAGTGCCATTATAATTTGTTTTAAAATTAGTAAAGTGTACATGAAATGCAAGCATGACGAAACAACCACTAAAATAAATTAAAATTACACTAACCTTGTTTCTGTTAACAATTTTATTATCTATGCTCAACAAAGAACTTAAAGTATCTCTTTAAAGAAGCACGTTTAGGTATAATAGTTAAACAGTGAATAGATAAATTGATTGATGAAATGCTTGGAAGATGGAAAAATATAGTTTTGCGAAAACAGCAAACTTTACTTTTGGCAAATTAGCAAAATATCATCAAAAGTTACAACATGTTTATCATAAATTAATGACACGACTGTCACAACCCCCGTGATTGCAATCATCAGTATTTTGCTTAGAATTTGTTGGAAATTTCACAGACCACCGAGCTGCGGACAGAACATTTGTGAATTAATGATTGTGTCCGAGAAAGTTCCTTTTCTGAATCCTGGTTCATGCATGGAAGTGTATAGTGAGTTGTGTTGGCAGAAGAAACCTAGGAAGCTCGATCACTTATGAAAACTTAAAAATGTAAGACAAGATATCCCTAATCTTATTTTGAAGTAGAAGTTGTAGATGGGTCATATAGGTTACAGTTGCTTATACTATCTTAACCTATATCTAATGAAATCGGTCATAGTTTATTTGTTCCGACATAAATGACGTAATCAGAACTGCTAACTGACCTAGGCACAACGTCATATCTTAAGAAAAAATATGTTGTGACCTAGAGCGATCTATAAAAAATGATCACCCATACACATACAATTAGTTTATTTATTTATTTTATTTGGTTTGATAGATTGAGCTAATTCACGCTATTGTTACAGCCCAAACGTATGTCGCTCGAAATACAGATCATATTGCTGTGCCGGATGGTCACGACATCCTGTCTCGGGATTATGTATTACACGTAAGTTTGTAATGTATTTTGATTGTATTTGCTCGTAGATTCTTTATTGCGAATGATTTTTTGTAGTTTAGTCACTTGTGTTTTTTTTTAATTAGCAATATGTAGTCGATCTTGCGGACCTTCCGGACGATGCATACAGCCTAATATGTGTCTTTGCGGGGGAGGTATCAGGTCACCAGCTTGCGGTCCAGGTATAAAGAACGGTGGGTAACCAATACCTTAACTGTCCTATTGTGAATACACGTTGGCATTATGTACAGGTGAAAACGGAAATGGTACATCGTGTCGATTTATGTGTATGAATGGGGGAACTTGTACTGAGGGAAAATGTGTTTGCGCACCAGGCTACACAGGGGAATACTGTAATGAACGTAAGTTCGTACTGGTCATTTTATCAATTGGCTCACTGACTTTTCTACAGCGATATGTCTTGAACCGTGCAAAAATGGCGGGCGCTGTATTGGTCCCGATCGTTGCGCCTGCGTTTATGGATTTACAGGCAACCATTGTGAAATAGGTGAATCCACTCGCTCAAGTACTATGCCTTACATTCATGATTAGATTACAGGACTGGGCCTTGTTATGGCGGAGTGAGGGGTAGTCTCTGTGTTAACCAACTCGACGGCGTTGTATGTACGAAGACCCTATGCTGTGCTAGTATTGGAAAAGCGTGGGGTCATCCTTGTGAACATTGCCCCAGTAAATTAGATTGCGAAGTCGGCTTTATTAAAAATCAAAAAAGCAAGGAATGCGTTGGTGAGTGGCTAAATCGTGTGATCAAGACAGACAAATATGGTCCCCCTTTCAGACATAAATGAGTGTGAGGCAATTCCGTACCTCTGTTCTGGGGGATTATGTGTAAATACTGTGGGTTCCTTCACGTGTGATTGCCCACCGGGACAAGCGCGTAATCCTGGCACGAATAAATGTGATGACCGAGACGAATGTCTAGACGAGGGGATTTGCAAGGACGGGCGCTGTGTTAACACGATGGGAGGATACTATTGTCTATGTAATCCTGGATTTATTCAAAGTCAAGACAGAACCTACTGCATTGGTAATCATTTCAAAATAATCAAGTAACTTTTTCGAGTGACCCAATTATCTCAACTTCAGATGGAAGGCAAGGAAATTGTTTCACCAGTAGGAGCCCTTCGGGATTGTGTAAAAACTCACTCCCAATGCGCCTTTCCAAAAAAGACTGCTGTTGTGGAGTTAACATGGGACAAGGATGGGGTGATAATTGTACTAGGTGTCCTTTACACGGAGAAGGTAGCTATCCGTCTATCATACACAAGGTTTCAACAATATTGTTTTAGAGGAGCACAGATTACTTTGTAGCGGAAAATCGCCGGGCCCCCCGACAATCCAGGAACCTCCCCAAGATGGTAAAGGTGATGGTTCCCATCCTTCTGCCGGTCTCACATTAGTAAATGAATGCGTACTAAGACCCGATATTTGCGGAGAAGGGCAGTGTATAGATACTGTTGACGGATATGAATGTATTTGCAAACCTGGGTTCAAAAAAGGGAGATCGCGTGCTTGTGAAGGTACACTGAAATGGTAACTTGAAAGTTAGGTGCGCACGCTTTCCTTTGTTGCAGACATAAATGAATGTAATGAGGGAAAGTGTCAAAATGGTCATTGTACAAACACCCCCGGAAGTTTTATATGCCTTTGTCCTCCCGGATTTGATGTCTCCCCTGATGGAACAACCTGCACAGATCACGATGAATGTCGTGAGATAGGAATGTGCACTAATGGTCTCTGTATTAATATGGATGGCAGTTTTAAATGTCATTGCAAACCTGGTTTTAAATTGTCTCCGACGGGTTACGCTTGTGTGGGTAAGTAATCAAAAAACATTCGTGGTGTTTTTATTAGTCTGGTAAGTGATTAATTGCGCACTATATTTAGAAATACTCTTTGACTGCAGACATTGATGAATGTTACGAAAATCCACGCATTTGCCTGAATGGAAGGTGTAGTAACACTCCCGGTTCTTACACTTGCGATTGTCTACCAGGATTTGTGGAATCTGGTGATAGAACGTTTTGCATTGACTTGGATGAATGCTCTAACACCGGTAATGCTAAGGGAAGGTATTAAGACTTTCACTACCTAATAGTTATTTTTAGGAATGTGTAGCCATGGAAAATGTGTTAATATAGAAGGCTCATTTAGATGTGTTTGCGATTCCGGGTTTAGATTGGGTTCTGATGGTAGACACTGCATGGACATAGATGAATGCATTCACAACCCTTGCCAACATGGAAATTGCTACAACACGCAAGGGAGTTTCAGATGTGAATGTCATCCCGGTTTTAACTTGGGACCAGACGGTCGGTCGTGCCTAGATACAAGGCGAGATTTGTGCTACCAAATGTATCGTGATGGATTGTGCTTCAACCCTTCCACGGCAGCTGTAACCAAATCAAGTTGTTGCTGTTGTACCATAGTTACTGGACAGCCAATGGGTTGGGGAACCACCTGTCAACCATGCCCCATGCCCGGAACAACAGACTTTGACACTTTGTGTCCCCATGGTCCAGGTTCTACATTTGACGGAAACGATATAAACGAATGCGCTCTTAATCCAAATATCTGCCAGGACGGAGCGTGCGAGAACTTAATCGGAACCTATAGATGCATTTGTAATCCCGGCTTTGAGGTAGATGCCAGTGGGAAACTATGCATTGATATCAACGAGTGCGATGTAGAGGACTTGGTAAGAGTTTATATTGTCACAAATCTAATATAATAATCAGGGACCCCGACCCAAATGAAATATCGGTTCCGGTTTTGTTTATATTTAAGCGAAAATATTTATAACGGTTCCGGTCCGGTTTCGGTTCTAAAAAGAAATAACGGTTCGGTTCTGCGCATTTTTTTCGGTCCATAACAGTTATTTTCGGTTATAGTTTTTTAGAAAGTATGGCATTCAAAAAATTCATTATAACAATGTGATTTGTTAATTATTAGGTGTGAAAAAAAAGTCATGAATACCAAAACGTGACGTATCGTGTAGGTAATTTATAACGACCAGGGGAATAAAGGAGGAAGAGGGAAATATGTATTTACACTTAATTTATTACTAAAAAACAGAAAATTTTATTTTCTAAAATCTCGCCCCTCCTTTTTTATTTTTTTAAAGTAGTGGCTAAATTAGCGCCATAGCCACCCGTAATGCCTTCAATTTCGACAACTTATTAAAAATCCACCGACGGCAATTATAGAGTAATATTTTATCACTTTTCAGGACGTGGTTGCCGGCGCATCCTTCAACTTCCAATAACCTGTTAAGAACTGTAAAAAAACCGAAAAGAGCCGAAAAAAGAATATGGGTTCCGGTTCTCCATACGTTTCCATTTTTGAAGGAATAACGGTTTCGGTTCGGTTTTCGGTCCAGAAAAAAATACCGGTTTCGGTCCGGTTTTTGGTTCTTTTACGGTCCGGTCCGGGTCCCTGATAATAATCTACATTTAAAGTGTACACTATTCTTTATGGCTCTACCAAACATTTTGCCGAGGTATTAGAATGCACTTGTTAATTGGTACATGACGGATAACAATCCTATTCACACACATTCACACATAATTTATTCCCTGATTGATACATCTTATTTTACATTTATTTTCAAATAGGCGGTGTTACTTTTTTAATCACTAACAACTTACTATACCTACATTTACAAAAAATCATGCCCTAATATGAGTTCGAACCGATGTCCCCCAGTGCCGTAGTCGAGCAGCCACTTCACCACGACATACGTAAATGTAGATTTAGCATAATTCTATTCCATTTTCATTTGTCAGGCATGCAGCGGAGGACAGTGTCGAAATGTTCCAGGAAGTTTCCAATGTATTTGCCCTACAGGGACACAACTAAATCCAACCAACTACGTTTGCGAAGATATTGACGAATGTCGCGAGCTCGGTCCTGAAGCATGTTTCAATGGCGAATGCATTAACACATTCGGTTCATACAAGTGTGAATGTGATCCAGGATCAGTTTTGGACAATACGGGGCGGATCTGCATAGGTAAAAAATAGTAGAGCGGCAAGAGATGGTATGAACCCTATGTTTTGTGTAGACAACCGGAAGGGATCTTGTTGGACACGATTGGTCAACGGTCGTTGCGAGAACAACCTGCCTCATTTAAGTCGCCGTTCTGAATGTTGCTGTTCAGTTGGTGTCGCTTGGGGTTCCCCTTGTGAACGGTGCAATACCAACGAATGTGACTGTCCTAAGGGATACGCCAAGGTAGATGGAAAGGCTTGTGCTGACATAAACGAATGTGAATTAAATCCTGATATTTGCCGAGGCGGTGGTATATGTGTTAATACCGAAGGTAGTTTCACGTGCAACTGTCCTCCTGGATTAACTCTTGACGAAACACGTAAGAAAGTCGCCCTTAAACTAACCAATAACCTGACATTTTAGGAACACAATGTCTGGATGTAAGAATCGAGCAATGTTTTACCAAGTACAAACATGGCAAATGCGTGCATCCCATTGATGGACTGTTTCATAAGGATTTATGTTGCTGCTCAGGTCTTGCCAAAGCGTGGGGTACTCGATGTGAGGCTTGCCCAAAACAGGGATCTGCAGCTCATACAGAACTCTGTCCGAGAGGGCCAGGATTTTTAGATCGGAAAGATATTAATGAATGTACCGAATTCCCTGGCATATGCTTGAACGGTAGGTGCCAGAATACTATCGGGGGATACAGTTGTAGATGCAATAAAGGATACGATTTTGATGAAAATAAAATTCAATGCGTTGGTGAGTGTTCAAATTGAATGCGTGGTGATGCAATATACTACTGCGAAATTTCAGATATTGATGAATGTACCATTACTACTAATAATGTATGTGGAAATGGCGTATGCCGCAACACACCTGGTGACTTTGTTTGCGATTGTAATGAAGGATTCCGCACGATGGCACCGATGCAAGTGTGCATGGGTAACTATTGGTGCCTATCTGCGTATTAATTAATATAATGATTATTCACCAGACATAAATGAGTGCGAAGAAATTCCCGGTCTGTGTAGGGGCGGTCATTGCATTAATACCGAGGGATCCTATAAATGTGAATGCCCACCTGGTCATGAGCTGGCATCCGACCAGAAATCTTGTAAAGATATCGACGAGTGTTCTAGAACTAGCGGTATTTGCTCTAATGGTGTTTGTGAAAATATGATGGGAACGTATCAATGTGTCTGTAACGATGGGTATCAGCAAACGGGCTTAAAGTCACATTGCGAAGGTAGGTACATATTTGGATTTTCTGTACAATTTGAAAGATTAATTCATTCCGTAGATATTGACGAATGTGAGGATGAACCCTGTGACGATTACTGCGTAAACAGTCCTGGCAGCTATTCTTGTTCTTGTGGGTAAGTACCTTGACTTAGATGGCGTGAACTTATGTTAGGTACTTAAATTAATACACATCTCTTTTCTCATTCAAAACAATACTATTTTTTGTTAAACCAAAGAGTATATTAAAACCAAATATACTCTTTGGTTAAACCACGTATAATATGCATTATATGCGTAATATAAGGAGCGTACCTCACAAAACCAAATTACAAATTGACTAGGGCATAATAATGAAAAAAATACAAACTGCTCGCCATTGATGTAACTCACCAGAGGACTAGTAATGCCTTTCGAACACAGAAGAATATGGATAATTCTCCTATTTGGAGAAGTGGTGGAGAAACCAACAACGCAACGTGTTACTCCCAGTTCCTGTTGGTAGAACAGTTACTGGGAAGCAATTTTGTGTATATATCAGCGTTGTTAATTAGTGAAGATGGTCCAAACATCAGATTAGTTAAAACACGTGATCGTACTTTAGTTGAAATTGGATAAAGAAATAAAAGCAGCACAAAGAAGGACCTATCGTGGAAGGTCTGACATAGTCCTGTCAAAAAGAGCTATGTCACTGTAGTACACAATGATGAGTCAAGTAAATCTGGACTAATAGAAAATATTTCAGAAAGCTAAAGTATATTAAAGGACAAAGTAGAAGTGCGCTAATGCAACAATAGTTAAATAAGTAAAAAGGTTTTCGCCCTAAGGCGAGTAACTTCAGCGCATTTTCCATAAATTGATCAATACTTCCCCAAAGGCCATACCTATGTGCGCTATGTTTTTCATTACTAGTGGCATATATGGTTAAAATTTTAAAGAAATATCTTCATAAATAAGGAAGTTGACACTTACTGCGCAGTTGATATTGCGCGTCCTCCGCATGCGCTTATTAATCTGATATTTACAATGTGCAATACGTTTGCTTTTACTATAAGCATCTTTAATTAAAATTTCAAAGAAATATCTCCATAAATATGAAAGTTGGCATTCCGCAGTCTGCGCATGCGCACATCTGATTTTTTCTATACTATATGCAATATATTTGTCTTTACTACACGTATCTGTGATTAAAATTTCAACAAAATATATTAATAAATAAAAAAGTTAACATTGCGCAGCCTGCGCATGCGCAGTTCAATCGTCAAGATTTTTCTTGACTCAGGTACCAGAGCGATACGCTACCGAATGCAAAAAGAACGAGCTAAATATCTTGAAAACTGTAGGAGTGGTTAAGGCCTGGGACAGACGGACGGACAGAGAAAGTGGCTGCAATAGCGCACCCAACTTCGTTGGAAAATGCGCTAATAAAATATAAGATTAAAAATCGAGAAATAAATGTTTACAAATGACGCAAATATGAATAAGATCAAGGAAACGATTGTTGTAGGTAACAATGTTTAATCATAGAGTGCTAGAGCGACATCAAGTGGATAAAGGATCAGTCGTTGGCGATAAGGAATGTTTCTCATTCTTCCCATGGAATATGATATGCTGATACGAGACTTATCTAGAAGCTTTTTGTTTGCTTCCTCAGTAAATTAAAATGGGTTTAGTTTCAGTCTTAACATCGATGCTGAAGTGATAAATAGTGAAATCCGCGCTCGTGCTATAAATGTGAGTAGAATTAAGTGATAAACAATAAAACTTAATAAGCATTAATTATGCAATCCTGCGTAGCTTTCCTTCGTTTTCCCATTTGCAAATAAGTGACGATTTTGACACCTTATGACCTTTTGGGGAATAGGTTACCCTTTGAAATAAGAACTCTCCGCCAAAAGACCTATCCTACGACATCCATAATTCACGTGATAATCATGTGATCGCGTTCAAACTAGGAGTGCTAGATGGAGATGTACAGATACACTACAAGATAGGAAAACAGATTTGAAAAAGGTTATGGCGTTTTCCCGTACCTAACTGACATGACGAAATTATGTTATACCACGCATAACTTAATAAAAGTCATACATTTGAAACGTAAAAAACGAAAGACCATTTAAGGTGTCCTTGAAAATGAATAAAGATGAATGGCAATTAATGGAAGCGGAAAGACAGTCACCGTCAGCTGTCTAAATGGAATCACTTTCGTGATAATACGCCATTGTCCAAGAAGCTAAGCCTATACAGGGTGATTCAAATTCGAGGGCCACCATGGGGATTTCGGGAACTGTAAGAGATAGGTAGAGGTAGTTTAAATTTGCCAAAGTTGCGTATTTTAATGCTTAACAAAATGCAGTTTCGAAACTTAAAAAATTCGACTACTTTCGGAGATATCCGGAAAAAGCCGCTTTGCAAAATCGTTTTTATTTTTTACTGAAGTTATTTAAAAAGATATTTCGAAATAAATGATACATTATTATGGCCGCTTTTGTCCCTCTACAAGATGCTACTTTTAAATTTTAAGTTTGACGTTTCGTCTCCAGTCAATCATCATCAACTTTGTTTTTTCTTATAGAAGTAATTTTTACTTTTTGTGTCATTTGATGTAGAATTTTTTTCCGATTTCAAAAATGTAAACATCGCTATCTTTTAATCATAAATAGCGCTATTAATTCGTAAAAACGCAAGAAATTACTTAGGTACACTATCTAAGAAAATTTTCTAGGTAAAAAAGAAAATATTTTAATAATTAAAAAAAATTGTGATATCTATTTACATATTATATTTTTGAACTCTCTTTTGAATTCTCTATCACATGACTCAAAAAGTAAAAATTACTTCCATAAGAAAAAACAAAGTTTATGATGGTCACCCGGAGACGAAACGTCGGATTTAAAATTTGAAGCTAGCATCTTGTAGAGAAAAAAAGTGGCCATAATAATGTGTTATTTATTTCTAAATATCTTTTTAAATAACTTCAGTAAAAAATAAAAACGTTTTTGGAAAATTTCGGTGTTTTCCGGATATCTCCGAAAGTAGTCGGAATTTTTAAAGTTTCAAAACTGCATTTTGTAAGCATCAAAATACGCAACTTTGCCAAATTTAAACTACCTATCTATGTGTTACAGTTCCCGATATCCTCATGGCGGCCCTCGAATTTGAATCAGCCTGTATATTAATTATTAAAAAATGAGATGCAGGGTTGCATTCTAAACCATGGAATTATAACAGTGGTTATAATTCCATTTTTGTAACAAAAGTAAAGCTGCGGACCGAACCCTTTTCTCGGACGTGCTGTTTAAGGAAAATTATGAAAAGATATCAACCCAAACCTTGATGTGGTAATTGGAACATAATAGTTCGCTATCATCCTATCAACTGGACTCAAAACAAAAAAAATACTGAATATTCGACATTAATTGCTGCGCAGCAGGAAAATGTGGGCTGACTATTCCTAGGAGCAGATGAAGTCGAATCATTTAATAAGGTAGTAATGAGAAAGAGGACGCAGCAAGAATACGTGCAGTTACACGTTTTTGACAAAAATAACAGTTACGCCAACAATATGGGCATATCCACTATGTCTCAGCCGGACAGAACAGTAGATACCCAAGTACCTACGTGACAGGCATGGCGAAAAAGACACTAGCCACAAAATCAAATTAATAGACGAGACCATCACGAAACCTTAACGATTACAAAATTCACAAACATCTATTAGAATGTCCCTTATACGATTATACCAAATATCAGGACATCGATGTGTAAAAAGAAAAACACTAAAGAAACCTTATACAGTGATGAACATACGATACAATAATAAATTATCTGCCAGCACATGATACTTAAGTTGGTAGGGAAGTAGCATCAAGAGCTGATATTAAAGAAATAGAAAAAGCAACTTCCTTCAAGCTTTGGGCAAACTCTGATTCATACACAACTGTTTTCGTAACGTAATCTCAAACCATTTTAGATCTGGATACACGCTAATGTTGGACGGCCGCACCTGCAACGATATCAACGAATGTGCAGACAATCCGCGAATTTGTAGCGGAGGAAACTGTACAAATACCCATGGAGGATTCACGTGTCTATGTACGAAAGGTTTAATTGCTGGACCTGGCAACAACTCGTGCTTGGGTAAATACGTAATCTCTCACGACGGTGAGTACTCAACATTTTTGTTATAGACATTGACGAATGTAGACAGAACCCGAATATTTGTGGTAATGGGGAATGTATTAACACCTTGGGATCCTTCCAGTGTAGGTGTGAGGAAGGGTATTCCGTCAAACCTGGGGAAGAACATGTTTGCTCAGACGAAGATGAATGCTATCTGGGCATATACACTTGCGATGTAAACGCCGATTGCATTAATAATCCAGTAAGTCTTTTTTCTATTTCATTAGCACTATCTCAAGCGTTTGCGTTCTAGGGATCGTACCAATGCCGATGTCAAGATGGTTTCACAGGGAATGGTGTTAGCTGTAGAGATATTAATGAATGTCTTACAAATAATGGCGGTTGTAATCAAAACGCGCAGTGCATCAACACTGATGGTTCCTTCAAGTGCGTCTGTGACACTGGTTTCAAAGGAGATGGTTATGAATGTTCTGATATCGATGAATGTTCAAATGATCCAACGCTTTGTGAAAATGGACAATGTTTAAATTATCCTGGCGCGTTTAGGTGCGAGTGTGACATGGGATTTATGCATCCAGATGAGCATAAGGACCAAGCATGTGTCGGTAAGTAATTTACAGATTGCTTGGGAATGTGTCTCTCAGGGACGTCTTAGATAAGGAGTACGCACGTGACATGAGGTCTCCTTCTTTTAAGCAAATATTTAAAATTGTTGCACTTCTACAAGTTTATCAGAGCTATGCACGATATAAAAAGGCCCCCTCTCGAATTTACTTACATTTCCAAATTCTCTCTAAAATCGCACGTATTCTTTCGTGTTCTATTATTTCTGCCTAAGTAAATTAATGTTATATTCCAAATTATCCGGTTTTGTAGGAGCTACTTTAATAACAACACGCGGGGGGCCTAGGAAGCTTTTAAGACGTCCCTGAGTTAATGAACGAAAGTGTATGAACGGATGGAGACGTGAACAATCGAAATAGGAGACTGTGAAAGTGATATCCCTTTATAGAGACAATTGAAATTTCCGAATTGTACCATTTAGGAATTAGTCTTTTGTATATGCCAATAGTTATATAGTATTATTGTAATTTTAATCTTTAACAATTTACTTACACTATAAGCAAGAGAACACTTTATTGTTCAACCTTACTTCATGGAACATCAATGATATAAAATTAATTAAATGTTAATAGAGAAACCATTCCTAAATTTATACGATTTGTGAAGCTATAGAAATATTGAAACATATCAGAATTTTATAAAAGATTTCTATTATTGACAATTTTTTAATCTAGTTTCCATTACTACAAACAAAGGTTTTTCTCCAGCCGTGTAAAAATTTGTTATTTGTCAGCACAATTAGCTTCGATAGTTGACAATTATTATACTAAAGTAATGTGATGTTACTACACACAACACTTTCTCTTAGCATATTTTTCCCCCTATACACTAATTATACGTCTATTGTATGTAAAAAGATATACTTAACAACAATGTCTTATGTATGCGTTTACATATGATTTAACATCAAGATCTTGGTTGGAGAAAAAATAGTAGTGTAATTTGGATAAAAAGTGAACCTTTTGTTCGCAAATGTTGCGTTCGATCGGCTGCGGACATGATTGATGCACTTTTTACCCTCGTAACATATTACACTATTAATGGTGTTCTATAGTTGTATAAGATTTGTAAATGAGTTTGAATAACTCGGTCATTCATAACAATGACACCCTACCTTCTAACGGAATTGAGGGTTGGGTGATTGACTGACTGTAAATTTCATCGAGACTGAGCACCTTCTCATCAAAAATCATCGACCAAATTTATTACTAGGGTCTCTTGTAAAGGATTGAGGCAAAATGATGAATGATATTTAATTAATTAGTCAGATAGGAAACTTTGCCCTTTAAAAATTTTCTCAATTTACAGACATCGACGAATGTCAAATGTTTAACAATTTATGTGTTCACGGAACTTGCGAGAACGTTTTCGGAATGTTCAGATGCGAGTGCCGTGATGGATTTAAACTGGATAGCTCCGGTGGTAACTGTACTGACGTAGACGAATGCGATAGCCCGCAATCATGCGTATACGGCTCATGCCAGAACGAAGAGGGCACTTATAGATGCATTTGTCCACCCAATTATGATATGATTTCGGAAGGAAATGCGTGCATTGGTAAGCAAACTAAAACCATTCGTACCTGTTAGAAAAGCTGTACCATTCAGATCGAAGAACTTCAAGATGTTTTCTTGAAATTGATAATCAAGGTATATGCCAGTTGCCTACGGCGGATTACGTAACGAAAGCTTCTTGTTGCTGCTCGGTTGGTAAAGCATGGGGTCCCCATTGTGAACTGTGCCCTATTCCTGGAAGTCCAGAGTACGATGAAATATGTCCGGGAGGTTTAGGTTATAAACCAAACGAAATCACTGTAAGCGATAATTTCGTAGATTTCCCAAATTTAATTTGATGCGCCATTGTAGGTGGTTCTAGAGGACATTAACGAGTGTGAAGAACACGAAAATATTTGTAGAAATGGTCATTGTACAAACACTTTTGGCAGCTTTATGTGTTCTTGCAACGAAGGTTTTCATTTAGATCAATCAGGAGTAGAATGCATTGACGTGGATGAGTGCGTTGAAAATCCAGGAATTTGCAATGTTGGACGTTGCATAAACGAACATGGACGCTATTTCTGCGAGTGTCCTGAAGGATATATGCCGTTACCTGGAGGAAGTTAGTATGCCAACCCTATTAGTAGTTAAATTAACTGTAAATATGTAGGGGAGTGCGTTGATATGAGAAGAGATGTATGCTTCCTCAACTACAGCAGGTGGACATGTTCGCTGCCAATGACTCAAAATCAAACGAAAAAGCTGTGCTGTTGTTCAATGGGTCAAGCATGGGGTCAGCCGTGTGAACCATGTCCGATTCAAGGCACCAGTAGGTATATGGGAAACATTCGCGATTTACTTTTATTACTTAAATTGTTACGAAATGCTAATGTAAACTTAATATTTATCTAGGTGAATACATTACATTATGCGGTGTGCGACCTGGCCAGATTATCAACCCAATGACAAACCAAAGTGAAGGAATTGATGAGTGTCAACTCATGCCTACAATGTGCACACATGGCGTCTGTGTGAACACGCCCGGAAGTTTCGAATGCCAGTGCAATCGCGGTTTTATATACGACATCAATTCGCACCAATGTATAGACGAAAATGAATGCCTGCGCCAACCAAATCCGTGTGAAGGAAATGCTCAATGTGTAAACCTACAAGGCAGCTTCGAATGCAGATGTCCAGAAGGATATAAACATGGTTCCAGCTTTATGGATTGTGTTGATATAGATGAATGTATCGAGCATCCGAATATTTGCAACAATGGAGATTGTAAGAATCTACAGGGCAGCTTCCAGTGCATATGCCACGTTGGTTATTTACTCACACCTTCAAGAGATAACTGTCTAGATATTGACGAGTGCGTTAGACATCCCAACATTTGTAACAATGGCACTTGTTTGAATGTGGTCGGTACTTACAAGTGTCATTGCAACCCCGGTTTCAAGCTAAGTCACACCAACGATTGCGTCGACATAGACGAATGTCATATGATGCCATTTTTATGTCGAAATGGACGATGCCGAAACACTATCGGATCATTTGCTTGTGAATGTGCTTCCGGATATACATTAACGGCGGATCATCATAATTGTCGCGATGTGGACGAGTGTCACGAAGTAAGTCGCAATATGTGTTTAGTAATGCATTAAACCTAAACAAATTCAGGTGCCCGGTACATGCCCATCACCTGGACAATGCCTAAATATTATGGGTTCATTTGTATGCACTTGCCCAGAAGGTTATGAACTCAGCCAGGTTACCAATAGATGCGAAGATATTGACGAATGCCAAACAAATCCGGGTATTTGCGAGAATGGTGTATGTACGAATACGGATGGTGGCGCCTTTTGTACATGTCCCAGTGGTTTCATTTTGGACCCTAAGATAATGTCGTGCGTGGATATTCGACAGGAACAATGCTACGACGATTTCTCGAGAAACCAATGTGCCGCCCCTCGCGGTTTTCAGATTACCATGAAGGAATGCTGTTGTTCACGTGGAGCTGCATGGGGTCGGTACTGCCAACAGTGTCCTAAAGAAGGCACAGGTAATATAATCTATATAGAAAATTGTACCTAAGACTGCATAAAATTTTTAGATGATTTCTCGAAATTATGTCCTGAAGGACCAGGGCGAATGGATTCCGGAAACGATCTCAACGAATGTGAATTAATGGCGAATGTTTGCGAAGGAGGAGACTGTATAAATACAGACGGTTCATTCCGATGCGAATGCCCAATGGGGTATGCCTTAGATTCGACCGGTAGAAAGTGTGTCGATGATAACGAGTGTGTCACGACACAAAATGTTTGTGGCAATGGTACATGTAACAACGTAATTGGAGGTTTTGAGTGTTCCTGCGATGACGGATTTGCACCGGGTCCTATGCAGGTCTATTTCTGCGTTTAATTTCGTCACCTCACTTGATAACCGTTATTGATTTACAGGTATGTGAAGATGTTAATGAGTGCCTCGAACTGGGCAACCAGTGTGCGTTTAGATGTCATAACGTTCTTGGATCGTTCAGGTGCATTTGTCCATACGGTTATGCTTTAGCTCCAGATGGTCGTCATTGTCAAGGTTAGTATTATCATTAGGTACTATAGATAACTACAATAAGCGAACAAGTTATGAAACGAACTTAATTATGTGACGAGGGACTCGAGAGTAAGGTTGAGATACAGAAGTCGAGAAACACCCGTTTCTAACCGCAGGCATTGCGGCCCGATCGCCTTTCTGCATGGGAGTCAGAATGTACAAAACGCACTGTTGAAGCTATGGTTGTCGGTACTTCCAAATTATAAGCTATCGCATTTGGGATTGTGGTACTGTTGAACGCCTTTGGTGAAGATTTCTGTTATATACCCTTCATACTTAATTATGCATCATAGCGATAATTGCATCCCCTGATGTCATCAATCCGAAAAAAAACATTTTTATTAATTTTTTTATAGATGTTAACGAATGTTTGACACCGGCCAATAACTGCAAATTCGAATGCAAGAACTTAATTGGATCTTTCATGTGCATCTGTCCGGAAGGATACACGCAAGTAGGTTTAACAGATGATTGCCAAGACATCAACGAGTGCGCAGTAAATCCGGGAATATGCCAGAACGGACACTGCTTCAACCTGTTGGGATCGTACAGGTGCGATTGCTTCGAAGGATACGAGGCATCACAAGATCGAAAATCCTGCATCGGTTTGTATCGGTTATTAAATGTTATCCTTATACTTACGCTACCATTACAGACAAAAGGCAAGGTTTCTGCTTTAGACAATTAATTCAAGGTCGCTGCACCGCGCAGAATTTGGAAATGAATCGCGTAACGAAAGCTGATTGCTGTTGTTCAATGGGAGAAGCGTGGGGTCCGCGATGTGAAATGTGCCCGCCGAAATATTCACCTCAGTATCAAGAGCTTTGCTTAGATAGTGGATTTACTGTTGATGGCTCAGGTAATTATTACCCACGAGAAACAATGTACTATTCTCTTCTGCAGATGTGGATGAGTGTACAACAATTCCGGACCTATGCAGAAATGGTCGCTGTATTAATACGCTTGGATCGTATAGATGCATGTGTCACAAGGGCTTCAAGGTTGATCCCAGTGGAATTTATTGTAGAGGTTCGTTATTGGCAATAGTGGCCTAGTATCCATTATATAACTTACACGAAACTATAAATTTCAGACGTCAACGAATGTCAATTGATTCCTTCTCCTTGTAAACATATTTGTCACAATACCGAGGGTAGTTACGTCTGCGCTTGTCCGCCAGGATTCCTACTAAATCCCGATGGTGTGTCTTGTCGCGACCTTGATGAATGTAGCACTGGGCAGCATATGTGTCAGCATATCTGTATTAACACGCATGGCAGTTACACGTGCTCGTGTCCAAAGGGATACAACCAAGTTGGGGATGATTGCGAAGGTAACCAACCAACCATATAACCAATTTCACTAATAATCGCAATATCCAGATATAAACGAATGCGAAGAGTTAGGAGTTTGTCCAAAACCGGGCCGTTGTGTAAATACTTTAGGTAGCTTTAGATGTGTGTGTCCGAGAGGTTTCCAACTGGATCCTACTGGAACTTATTGTGTCGACTCCGATGAATGTTTGGATGATACAAAATGCCCAGAGGGTACGTAGAGTGTACTTACTATCATAATTTATCACTACCGTAATTTTAGGCTGCCAAAATCTTATTGGAGGATACCGCTGTGGTTGCCCTGATGGATATTCCTTGCATAATTACTATAATCAATGTGTTGATGACAACGAATGTCTGAATACTCCGTGCGGCGATGGAGGCAATTGCTTTAATACTCCTGGAAGCTACAGATGTGGTTGTCCAGATGGGTATCAATTTGATTCCAAACTCAATATATGCCTTCAAGTAATTTCTACACACACTTTAAGGAATTAGGGTAATTTAATTTTTTTTAGGTCAGTTCTGGGTGCGTTGGAGCTCCTTGTGCTTTCGGATGCACATCGTATGGAGGTATGTATTCGTGCGACTGTCCACAAGGCTATCAACGTATTGGACAAGGCCATTGCTTATCAACAATATCGCCATCTTCCTCCAATTACGCTCCCGATTTCGGAAATGTACCAACCTATGCTATAGGCGGTGATAGGACATCTGACGACAAAATTATAACTGGTGAAGGATGTTTCTCATGCAAGGTATGTAGCTGTATAGGTAGATTCTCTTGGGGTTTTTAGAACACTCTTCCTTGTTAGATAAACGGTAGGCATCGCCGGCATTCGACACAGAGGAGCAATTCAACTAGTGGCGAGGAAGTACTGCGTAGGATTTTGAAGAGATCTACGGGCCACGTTAGAGCAAGGAGGCATCATCATGGTGAAGAACTGTTGCTGAATATTCACCTACAGCAAACTAAACATAAGATGCGGATTTTAAAACTTCAACCTGCCGTGAAGGTGCGTGCCCTTTAATTTTTTCTCAAGTTTTTTAATGAATATTTCTATTCTAGAGCGACGTAGAATATTCCATAGCGAAGGGAAATGACAGAAACAAGTTCCAATTAGTCAAGAAATACGGCGTATGGGCATTGCATTTCAAGAGAAGACTAAAACATACAGGAAACTTTGACCTTACAATACACGGCAAACCTACAAGCACAGAAGAGTACGAAAATTCGATATTCGAAAAACCGCTAACGTTACGATTAAAATTAAACGTCTTGGAATAGCGTTAATAGTATTTAGTTAGTAATTGTAATTAAATTAAGTAATTTAATAATTTTTATCTTTGTATTTTCTCATTGTTACTGCCTTACAAAGTGAGCTGCAAATGTTAATATATGGGACTGCAATATGTTATGCTTAATGGTACTGCCTACAAAATGTATTTATATTTACATTAAGACGATTTTAATTAAATTTCAGCCGTAGTTTTCGCTGATATGTGATTTTAGAATGTAATGTTTTGATTTGTTTATATTAAAGTTTAATACATCTAAACATTTATAAACATTAGAATCAAATTGTAAATCTAATAGAAACTTGTTATTGTTAATTTAAAGGTGTCTGTTATAAATGCATTTTATTATTTTTATGCTGCCATCACGTTCACTGCCAATCTATTATTTATTATGCGAAGTAAAATAATCATTCTATCATATTTGTCTATTATTGTAAATAAAAAAGTTATAATAAAAATTCTATTTTCATACGACCAGTTAAATAACAAAATTATTGTGTAAAGTACGCCATGCTATATTTGTAAAATAAAGTGTTTAATTAAAATCTCTGTCTAGTTTTATTTCAGATTCTCTTCTTAGGAATAGGATTTCGTTAACATAATGTTTGTAATAGTGCATCTATCTGGTGGATTCGCCAGATATCTCGCCAGATATTTAGAGAGTGTAGTCCTTCATCTGCGGATACTGACTGCTGTGTATCAAGTCGGTATATGTTCATTACGACAGGAGATTCTTCTTTCAGCCATTTAGTAAATAAAATACTTAGAATGATTCGAATTGTATTGTATTCAGTGTAGGATGTGGAAAAAGTGTGTGAAATTATGTTCACAACACCCTTTATAAATCTATACATTTGAGAACAAAATAATATTAAACAATTGCTTCATAAAACTTCTCAAACAAAATTACTTATGTGCAATATTTAAACATCTCGCCTCTCCAAAAAGTGGAAGGAATAAGGATCAGAAAATGCAAAGTGATATTGATGTAATGATGTTACTTTCTTCACGTCAGCGGGCAATTTCAACACTTAATCATAAAATTTGGAAGGTATTATTACTATAAATAAAGTAGGTACTTTTATATGTACATTTGGAACGGGCTACTTCTTTTGACTCCTACAAACGTAATTGAGAGGTCCAACTAAACCTGAGTATAACAAAAAATTTTAATGTGGGTGCTCCGGCTGATTGCAACTGTGTTATCAAATTGCTCTAGTTACCTTCCACACCTGTAATCTTTCTTCAAAATTGACTGATGATTGATTGGAACTAACCAACACAATAACAATCACAGAAGGGCTTTTTGTTTGCTATATTGAAAGTTCAAATACAGGGACACAACTTGGACAGAGATCTGTAATTCTAATTCTAAATTACAATATGAATGAAATTGCTGCAAAATACAAAATGACTATCTAATTTATACAAATTTTAGTTTTTCTACTTTTCTGGGGAATGGCCATTCGTTTATACTAGGTAACTGAGATAACAGCTGCGTGAGCAGCAGACTGACATTTGATATATACAAGTACAAAATGAAATTGGTGCACCACCGCTTTATAATCTGGTTTTTTGACTCTCTTTATATTAAAATGATTTGAATCTTTACTACAAAGATTATAAAGGCGTAGTTCCTAAATCTATAGCAATATCTCCTTAACTGACTTATTATACAATTTTCGATTGGTAATGATGATGATCTTGATATAACAGCGGTACCTATAACTTTAGAACTGCAATGTCTGTTTCCCGGGATAATTCTGACTCGGAGGTGGCCTCAATTCCGGCAATTCGTTATGGAAGGGTTGTATTGTGACTTTTTGAATATCTCCCCGTCGGTAATTATTTCTTGTTGCGGTTTGTGTCCACAAATAAAAGCTGGCACTCACATTCACCAGTACAGAATTTTACGTATGTTTTTAACACTCTAATTAATGGTGTAGCAAAATTCCTCTCGCAATTTCGTTAACACAATTTCTTGTACAAGATTTAAAAAAGACACAGAAGTAAATGGCATCCAAAATATTATAAACACACAAAAACCCAGTTTGTTTTGGGAACTCCTTTTACAGACAGTAACAGGAGTGATAAAAGAACCCCGAGACGAACCCTATTTTTTGAAGGTTTGGTAAGTTTTGGGCTGTACCTTTTTGGCTCATTAGTCAACAATAGCGACCTTTCTTATATCCTTAAACCTTCCTAACACCGGGTGATCGGACCCCAGTCTCTTTTTCAATAGAAAACTGACATTATCTTGCAAATTTTATCTCAGTGCGTGTTCTGTTATTCAGAAGAATTGATATTTTGTTTTTGAATGAAAAAAAAGGTGTTTGATAACCATATTTTTCTTTGAAAAGGTAAAGAAATAGGGTCATACATATTACATATAATTTTTTCTATTTCGGTGTCACAATGATGATTTTGTACAACTGTTCTCGGCCGAAAACAGTTGTACAAAGACAGTGATTATAGTCGTTTTTTTTGGTAACTCATCTCTTAAGTTGGCAGTTACTAGTTGGTACAAGTAGGTACTTCGTTGGGTACTTCCATGTTTGAACTTCAAAATGTCAGTCTTACTACGCTGCCAACCTAAAACTTAACGGCATAAAAAGTGTTCCCAACATAAAACATGTTAGTTCTAATGTTCCCTATAGTTTCTGATAATGATTTTTTTAATTAAATTAAAGCACCGAAATAGAAAAAATAGTATGAAAAACGCGTGTTACAATGCTTTATTGTAATACTCCTATCTTGCGGACACTCGTGGCTACGCTTCGCGTCGCCACTCGTGCCACAAGATAGTCGTATTACAATAGGTCGCATTGCAACACTTGTCTTTCAATATACTATTCTGAGTCATTGTAATTCATAGTAACTGTCTTTCTATGTCATTGGCACATATTCTTATATTATTCTTACACTGGGAAAATTGTGCTTTAACTATTTGATCTTTGCTCCGCGGGCACAAATGACATCTTCGGTTTTCGGTTGATCCGACTTCTCCTGCGTTTCGTTCTCCTGGTTTTCGGGTACCTACTTTATTTCCAACTGTTTTCAGTACGGCGGAGATGTTACTTTTGGTCATTTAGAGTGTCTTTATGTGTCTTTGAGTAACCTTTATCTCATAGGAAATTACAAAAGAGAAGTGCAATTGGAAAGATCGCTTATAATTTGAATTTTTTGTTAATATGTCGTTACCATGAGGTTATCAGAAGATAATATGAAGGAAACCTTAATGAAAACGTATTGAATAATTTCAAAAATATTCAATATTAAAATATTATAGACACCTATACCGGGTGGGGTCCGATCGGACCCCAAGCATGTTTTTGGGCAGACATTCTAAAATATTCGGCTATATACTCAACATTTTTGTATTTAGTTATATACCTGATACATAAAACCTCGCATAAAACTACAAAAACAAATGTAACTGAGTCTCATAAAATTTGAAAAAAATTAAACACATGTAATAAGAATAACAGCATTAGGGGCCTTGGGGTCCGCGCGGAGCCCACCCGTTGTTAGGAGGACTGAACATGCCTACCAATTTTCAAAGCGATCCGACGTTTCTAAACAAAGGTATCGTGCACACAGATAGACAGACAGACGAACAAGCAGACAGACGGACAGACAGACAACAGACAGACAGAGAATACAAAATTATAAACTATCTCGATGATCGTTAAGGTGTAAAATTATATATATATATATATATATATATATATACATATATATATATATTATAAATTGATTTTTTAACTATAACTTTTTTAGTAATAAACGCAAAAATTCCTTCTTTGGTGCAAGCCTGGATGACCTAACGAACCGAATAGCGACAAAAATAGAACAATAGGTGTTAAGATCAAGATATAGTAACGACCGGACGGACGGACAATAGCGCATTTTTTTTTACTTTTATGGAAATGCGCTAAAAAGGAGTATATTTCTCAAAAAATGAAAAATTAAACAGTTTCTTGAAGCCTTTATTTTTGAGTGGACGGAGTTTCAGTCAAGGCTCGACCAAGCCAACCCCACTGTACGTTTACCATGCCCGAACCCGGATTCGAACAAGGGACCCTTAGTACGTACCCCAGTCAAGTTTCAACTCAACTACACCACACGGGCCGTTGAGTTATTTGTTTGTATTTCCAACTACAGATATTATACCTAGTATTATACTTTGTTTCAATAACACCTTATAAATATTATAATTACTTAATATAAAAAATGTTTTTACTTCTAAATAATAAAAATCAATCTGAGCAAATTAAGAGAAAGAAAATCCTATTACTTAACACTTTTTCAGTATAAAATGCTCTTAATTGGTTAGTGGAGGGGGGAGCGACGATTTTGAGGGGCCCATAGGCGCAAAACGAGACGCAACATATGTAGATACGGTCCTGAGGTCATTTGTGCAATTTTTTTGTCTATGGACGAGGTAGTTATAATGATTGCCAACTTTGCAACAACATCGGGTGAATGGGATACAAATTTTTTTGGTTTCTTTCTCGGTTTCTAAGTTTCTTTATATGCCCATTATGGTTCAAAACGTAATTCAATACAGTACTTTTCATACAGTAACCAGTACATCAAATGTTTAAATCGGCCAATTCTAAAAACCGATTTGACGGACGGACGGGCGCAAATCCGTATACAATACTATAAATAACCTGGGAATCTATGAGACGTGTAAATCCTTAAGAGTCTTCTGTACCCACTGCACCCAATGTAAATTTCCATAAGAGCGCCCGCCATAAAAACTCAAGTTGTTTTTAAAAAAAAACATTTTTTTAAAGAACTATTTTATAAATTTAGACCTTTATCTACAAAATGTTTGGGCTATTTTTTTAAAAAAGTTTATAGCAATTGAATACCGATTGTTTAAAGATTAGATGTTTTGCATCGATTATTGCTCTAATCTGTTTTATTTTTTTACTCTGGAACAAAACTGTTTATGGAAAAAGTAAACCGACAGTTTTCTAGATAAGTTACTTCTAAAAATTACCCCAAAATATTAAATCATATTTTTTGTAAATAAAGTCTGTATCTTGGCGGGCGGTAAATCAACAATTTGAGGGTAACAAGTAGCACCGCTGCACAGTGTCGACGGGAACTAACTAAGGACCAAAATAGGAGTTGACTAAGCAAGAATATCATCTTGTTTCTTGCAACTATAATCATCTATGCACCATAATGTAAAAAAGTTGCGCTTAGGTAAAGAAGACTCTTAATACACATACACACATGCCGGTTAGCAATTATGGATACCTTTATGACCTTTAGTTCAATCCGTATCGGCATCTTTTATACACCAAGATTTGCAGTGAAATGCACTCCATACTCGTAATTTGTTGTGAAACCTGACTTTACTAAAACCTCATAATAGGATCAGTGCTAAAATGTACACTTAATAAAACGGAATTACTGCAGCCCAATTTTTATAGATACCGTACCGTACCGTACACACATTCTGTAGGTACCAATTTAGAAATTTGTAGTGTTCGTATCTAGCGATTGCTATTCCAAACATGGAATGTGGAGTTACATCGTTACAATAACAAAAATTAATTAACATTACAAAACTAGAAATTCCAAAACTTACTAATGACACCATAATTACACCCTCGATTACACCACTTTCATGTGATTACTGATTATCAACTCACGAATCCCATAAGGAATATACCGTAGGTATAGGTACACTTAGCTAAGTTAACTTCAGCGATAACGGAAATTTTAGCACTGTTTCACGAATCTGTGCAAAGTACCACAAAACGTTTGAAGTTATTGCGCATAGGTATCACACAAGTAACAAGAGAACTACTGATAATACTCTTGAATGCGTTTTGCAATACCATTGACCATGAAGTGTAGTAAATAAATTCTCCCACCCAGTTGTTTTGACTATAAAGAAAATTGTTCGGGTAACCGTTTTAGCATTTTTGTTAATTCTGGAACTTCTAACATTAACATCAAAATCATGACCTGGCGTAATTTTTAAAAATAACTGGCGCGGTACTTCTGTTTTTAATTAATCAATTTTTTACCTACATATGTGAATGGACTGGTGTAATGGTTGCGGAATGTGTTATCAATCGTCGATTTTTACTGTTTGTGGTAATAACGTGTGTATCCAGCGCTTCCATTAAAAAAACGGATCAAACAATATGTAGTCCGGTGCCCGAAATGGTACTGTCGACGGTGTTAGGGACGGCATTCAATCCAAGGTATATGAGCATGCACAAACCGGTACCAAGTTCCAATCAGACCGACGCAGAGCAAGGCAAAAGGGAGGGATCTGGTCCTGAATCTTTTTACGTTGATGAAAATTTTGCGAAACCTCTCGACGAAGAACCTAGATGGCCGTGGGATGTGCTCAAAAGGAAAAAGAGATCAACGCAAATGTGGCAGTGCGAAACAAGAGTCCGGTGGTTGGATTTGGGGATGGACTACTATCCTCGGTATTTGAAATCTGTCGAATGTGAGTCTAAAGTGTGTTGGTTTGGTCGGTATAAATGCAAACGAAAGTCCTTCGCCATAAAAGTTCTTCGACGTAAAACGGATAGGTGTATGGTGGCCAAAGTTGGTACGAGTATTGGTCTTGAAGGCTTACCTCTCGATTTACGTGAGATGTGGATTTGGGAAGAAAGAGCTTTGAGTTTTTGCTGTGAATGCGCGTTGTAGTATAGACGTAGGTACTTTGCAACTAGTGTTACTTATACAGGTATACAGTTAATCGATTTACCTGCTCATACCTGCTTGTAAGCCATTTATTGTTCAAAAGTCATGAAATTTGGTGAATGTATATAATGTAATACCTATACAGTCTAGACAAAAAGTGCAATGGTCATTCACTTCTTGTTCTCCTCGTATATTTTTAATTTGTAAAAGTTTGAATATGTATAGAATAAATATAGTAGTGGATACATGCAACGTGTTTATTTTTGTGGCACCGCCACGGCCACGACCTATAAATATGGTGACTATATGTACTTTTTTTAGTAGGACAGTACTTTCTTTTCAAACGCTGTCCTATTGTCCTTTACGATTTATCAAGTACACCTAAATGTACTCTTTTTCTTAATTACACAAAATAAAAGTCATACCTTTTGTCCAAACGAAATATAATTCTTGCATGTCTTTGGTCATAAATGCTTTGGCGTATTGCTTAGTTGGATTTTGATCCGTTGTGCAGAAACCTATCGATGAAATGTTTCAATTCTTAAAGAGTAAACCACAACTTTTGAAGGAAATTCATGGTTCCAAAAAGTACGACTGGTACCAAAATGATGATCAAAATGTTCAGGCAGGAACGCCAGAGGAAAATTAACTTTTAAAATTTATATATACATATAAAGACAAGTAATTTATGTACCTATGTTTGACAAAAAAAAACTTTTTTTTCTTACTGTTTGATTAGATTCGTAATATTGTGACCAGAAAAATTTCCTAGAGTATTAGCAGTGCATTCGCTTATAAATTATAAATGTACTTTTTTCTTGTTGAAAAATTATGGTCACTCTACCTATAAATCATTTTATCATATTATACGATATTAATCAACTTGAAATTTTTAAGGTTTGCAATAAAAACTGTAGAGCAACTTTCAGATACTACGTAAGGACAAACTTTCTCCGCAGTCCAGTTAAGTTATCTGCAAAAGTAGCCTAAACTGGATGTTGTCACTTCATTCAACGAAACCGAGTGTATTCTATGTAAAAAAAATCGGCTGAATCCGAAAATCATAGTCCCCCTGTCCAAAAGTGCCTTTTTTTCGCATTTAATTTTGAATATATCGTTATAACTATTGCTAGGGAAAAAATGAATAGAAATATACGAGGGGTAAAACGCAACCCAAATTTTGTACACTGATTTCCTATAAATATTAGATTTCCTCTGAGTTCCTTCGAGTTCTTCAGAGTTCATTTGATTTCTTCGGAGTTTCCCTGATTTCCTCCGAGTTCCTCCGACTTCCACGAAATACCTCTGATTTCCTTGGAGTTCCCTCGATTTTCTTTTGGAGTTCCTCTGATTTTTTCCATAGTTCCGTAGATAAAAAAGTTGGCACTGCGCATGCGCAAAATAAAATTTTGAAACTGGCGCTAGATTTTCCTTTATTCCAAGTGCCTATGTATCACATTTCATTTAAATTCTTCCATGCATGCGCAAAACGAAATTTTGAAATTGGCGTTTGATTTTCCTTTATCCCAAGTGCCTATGTATCAAATTTCGTTTAAATTCTTCCATAAATAAAAAAGTTGGCACTGCGCATGCGCAAAACCAAATTTTGAAAATGGCGTTTGATTTTCCTTTATTCCAAGTGCCTATGTATCAAATTTCATTCAAATACTTTTATAAGTAAAAAAGTTTGCAATTCGGTTTATAAATGGTCAAGATGCGAAAAGGGCACTGTGAATTTTGAATCGATTCGATTCAACTTTTGGCATTGCGTATTATATGGCTAAAGCTATGCCCATATTGAATTTCATCCAATTCAGTTCATAACTAACGGAGATGTAAAAGCGATCGAACATTTCTAAACAAAGTTATCGTTCACACGGACAGATAGATGGACAGACAGACAAAGGAACAGACGGAAAGACCAACCGGCAGGCGACAGATAGCAATGCAAAATTATAAACGATCTCTAGGATCGTTAATAAACGGCAAAAGTGTAAAATTGTGGAACATGTAAAAAACGGTTTTTTGTTTTTTTTACAATAACTTTTTTTGTAAGCGGTACAGAAAAAATTCCTTCCTTGGTACAAGACTCGACACCATAACGAACCAAATAGCGAAAAAAAGTAGAACAATAGCTCTTAAGATAAAGAACTAGTAGCGTCGCAAAACGAGCGGACGGACGGACGGACGGACAAAGTGGCCACAATAGCGCTTTTTATTTTTATTTTTGTGGAAATGCGCTAAAAAATTAGTTAAGATCAAATTAAATAATAAAATGCAGCACGAGTTCCTTTGATTTGATTTCTTTAGAGTTCCCTTGATTTCCTCGGAGTTCCTGTGATTTCCTTGGAATTCCTCCTGAATACACATGGAATTCCTTGGAATTCTTAGCTTTCCTAGGAGTTCCTCCGGAATTCCTATGATTTCCCATAGATTTCCTCAAACGTGTACACTGATTTCCCATCGCGGTTTACCCCTCGGAAATATACTATATTAAGTAACAAGGGGGATTAAAAAGAGTTTTTGTTCCTGAAAGAATGGTTTAATCCAGTGTTACGTATACTACTGTTTCCAATACCGACCGATCTGAATCCATTTGAAAATTAATATGCTATAGAAACTATGAAAAAGTAAGGTAGGCTTTTTAGGATTAACATAGGTCATAGAAGATGGAGAATCGATGCTGGTAGTTAGAATTCCAGATACAACAACTAAAAGTCAACGAGTTTTTACCATTGTTGAGGGGGAGAAGAACTCAGTTATTTGGCATTATATAGGAAGAGCTGGATGTGTACTAAGGACCTTTATAAATTGTGCTTTTCATATTACCTGTTCTGAAAATAAAGAAAATGAATAGGTACTTTCTGAATGTTTTACAAGAAATCAAAAATGAGGGATTAAAGTTTTTTTAATCCCTAGGGATTAAAATTACCTATTAATGCACAAAAATTAGGGATTAAATTCAATAAAAACGTGTCGGCATTGGAAAAAATTTGTTTACAAGCGAATTGTCTATAAGATACAGTTGGCCCGGAACGGTCATTTTCAAATATTATTGTTTTTTTATGGAAAAATATAAAAAAGCAATCCCGAAGATTATCAATTGGCTATTACTAAGTAAAATTCATCCGATCTTTTTGAAAATCCGTATTTGGCGACTTCTTTTAATAACAAATCAATATGCCACACCCGATCACCGTACGTGTCATAGACATTGATTAATTAAATAAAGAAAAATTTGCTGTGACTAGCACACCACCCGCACACCTGCACGTTCTACCCAAAAGCTTTTCAGCCCTTTCTTTTTTGTCTAAAAATAAGCGTACCAAATTTAGTTCCAATCGGTTTAGCCGTTTAGCCGGAAATGAGAGTACAGACCGAGGTACAGACGGATCGATAGACCGACATCATCGAGATTTTGTTGATTCGGATTCCTGGTGCCTCAAAATGTGTATTTCCGTCAAAAAAAAGTGGGGGGGGGGTCATTTTTAGCCCAATTCAACACCTCCCTTACTGACGTGCGGGTGGTAAAAAACGATGCTTTATCTTTCAGTCTGGGTGACTCCCAGAGCGTTTTCAATTTTTATACAGATAGTGAAACCTTAAACCTAAAACAATCTTTTCCAACAAGTGTCCGGATGATTCTTGCAATTCGATGGACTATGGAATTTTTTTTGTAAAATCCAAAGAATTTTCTTAGTTAACAAATGGAATAATTTCCGAAATATAACTGTATAATAGGCGAATGGAAGTTCTTGGAAAAACGTACATTAAACAACGAGTTAAACAAATACGTCCAAATTCGATTAATAGTTCGCGAGGAATCAGGTTTTGACTTTGGAGTTTGTTTTCGAGACAACCAAAATTCATTTTACGGTTTGATTTGACCAAAATGAGTAATTTTTATTAATCCGAGTGCCAAGGCCCTTTTAAAGAGTTACCGTGCTTGTTATATTTCGGAAGTATGTTAGTTAACTAAAAACATCCCTCAGTCCGTAAATTTACAAGAATCATCGGGACAATTGTTGGAAAAGATTGTTTTAAGGTTCCACTATCTGTATAAAAATTGAGAACGCCTGAGAGTCACCCAGTTTGAAAGATACAACATCGTTTTTTTAACTTGGGTATTTAATTATGAAATGACTATAAAACCTACGGCCTACGGTGATCGGGTTTATTTCAAGTCCTCCTAAAAAAATTATGCATATAACGGTCACAATTTTAAAAAATCTTAAATAAAACGAAAAGCATAACAGAGAAATGTAATAAATGATCGACGTAGAATTTTTTTCGACATTTGAAAGTGCAAAAAAATAAAGCAGGTTTCATTTGAAAAAATTACCAAAGTCCTCGTGTGAGATCGAAGGGACTTCAGCGCTTCAGCGCATCTTTTTGTGTCGCAGATCAGTGTTTTGTTAGCCAGTGTTGACTCCACCATCAATAAGATCTTGTCGAAGGCTACCACATTCACTCTGTCGGTACCCACTTCCCACTTCCCGTGTACCCACAATTCGCGTTTGAAATTTTGACGCCACCATCAGTAAAATCTTGTCGGGGGCTATCATATTCCCTTTGTCGGTACCCACTTCCGATGTCCCGTTCGCAAATTTCCGTTCCCTATGCAAGATGGTGATCGGTTGCACGAACTCGTATAGGATATGGAAGCAGTGAATGTTTTTACATATCCTACCCGATTTCGTGATTTGCTAGCGGAATATAGCATATTTGATAAACAGTGTCAAGTTATAAAAGAAGTGAAGTGAAAAAGACGCAAAGAAAAATGTAGAACTACGAACAAAATTTAGACCCGAATTTTGCGAAGCAGATGCAGTTAACTGGAACAAAGATTATTCAAAAGTTACAAAATCAAACTGGATTGTCCAACGGAATTACCAAGATCCAAAAAAATCCTAAAATATTTCATACTTTTCATAATTTTTTGTCTGTATCCAAAATGCCCTTTATTACTTGGTTCCAATGTTTTGAAAATGCAAATGAGGATAGTGCAATGTTCACATTACACATAATTGATCACGAAATCGGATAGGATATGTTAATCATTCACTACTTCCATATCCTATACGAGTTTGTGCCACCGATCACCATCTTGTATAGGGAACGGAAATTTGCGTCCCGTTCACCCGCAATTCGAGTTTGACTCCAACATCAGTAAGATCTTATCG